AAAGCGATGAGGAAGATTTGCGGGCGCAGATGCGCAACGACGTCAATGATGAGGTGAAGGATTTTTGCATTGACTTCCTTATTCAATGTGAATTTGCTATAGCTGTGATTAGCCAGATCGATCAGGTATTCTATGAATAGTGATCCTCTATTTGACGGGTAATACTTACCAAAATGTGAGCCCCTCCCGTCGGTTTTCGACAGAGTGGCACATTTGATGGTTTTTTTTTTTATTGCACTTAAAAAAAAAGCCTCAAAACTGGGGTTAAAATACTTGCTGGGTTTGTGTAGAATTCCTTTTTTTACAGAAGATATTTTTTTTTAAAAAAAGAAGGAACTACAGCTTTTGGCTATGAAATTTACAAATTTTATCTTAATTAAAAGTGAAAAAAAAATTATTTTAATCCTGTAGACCCCTTTTTTTTCCACGTATATGTGCCTTTGCAATTCTTGGGGCAAATATGATTAGTTCAATGAAAAAAAATGAATTTTTGGGTTCCTGATAGAACTTATTCTTTCACAGTGTATGTACATATGTGCCTTTGTTAGCCTCCGAGCGAATATGGGGTTAATTCAAGGCCTAAAATAACAAAAATTTTCTTCCAGAATCTACTGAATATGGAAATTCCTCCGTTGCCGGAGCCAGTGATGAGTGCAGATGGAAGCGGACAGCGACTTATGATAACGAGCATCGATGTGGAAAATTTCAAATCATATTATGGCAAACATGTGCTTGGTCCATTCCATCATGTGAGTTTTTGCCTAACATTGTTTTGTACTGTTTGTGTTTTTGTAAAAAAAACCCATTAGTCCAATTATTTTTTCGTATCTTTCTCTTCATGTGTTCATATGCTTGTTCGATTTAACCATTGAATCCCAAAAGTTTGGGAGATCTAAATGGCACTTCTAGTTTTTCCATAACTGTCAAAATTCGACTGTGCTCCCTTCAACGAAGGGCCAATAACGCCAAACAAACTGCGTATGTTAACACATAAAAGACTTCAGGCCCCCGTCTTCTTCCAATCCCCTAGCCAGAGATACTCATTGTTTGCATTTTTAAAATTTCTGAAACACTTTAAGTGGTAACTTTACCCCATAAAGTGGTATTACAAGAGCCACGATAACTTCAAAAAGAAGTGGATATAGCCATAAGTGTACATATTTATCAGGGGGGGCCGTAACGTCAGAGCAATCGGCAGTGTTTAGCCGGATCTTTTGCTCCAAGAGCTTGGAAAATCCGGCTTTTCCATCTTAGCCTTTGGCATAGCCAAAGTCGAATCGGAGAAACTTGGAAAATCCGACCTTTTCGTTACAGCCATTAGTTTACTCGAAATAAAATCGGAGTTGGCTGGAAAATAGAAAATGGCAAATGGCACAAGTTTTATGAAGATTGGCCAATAAAGCGGTCGGAGGGAACGGATTCATTGTGAGACTGCAGATCGCGAGATGAATATTTCAAGCGACGTAATATCACTACGAGTGAATTTAGCTCGTTATCAGGGTTAACAGGAAATCTGCAGTGAAGACAGTTTGTGCTGCACCCGCTGCAGCAGCTTAGGAAAACGATACTGGATTTTTCTACGAAAAAATAAATGGACCATTACTGCTTGCGGTTCTTAGTAACTGCAGTACCAAAACTGGAAGTGAAAGAATTTATCAGGCATTTTGGCTTGTGAGCAGATAATGTAAGAGGCCAAAGATCCACGGATTTCGTCGATTGCTTGGAGCTGTGAATTCATTTTTCAATAAAAACTTGGAAGATGCTTTACGAGGCAAGCGAAAAACAACACTTTCTGGACCAATATGGTCACAAACAAGCAAAAATTAGTTGCAGACAAAAATTGGTTGCTGTTATAGTTTCAGCTGTCTGCATACACAAAAAAAGCCATTAGCCCAATTATTTTTTCGTATCCTTCTCTTCATGTGTTCATATTTTTGTTCGATTTAATCACTGAACCAAAAGTTTGGGAGATCTAAATGGCACTATCTTCCTCTGGGATTCAGAATGAGAATCGGTTTTTAAAGCGATAGAAGCGTTCGCATTAAAGCTTTCTATCGTAATAGGCGAGGCACTCTGGATTCTTCCTGTAGTAGGAAAATATTTTAAAGTTGGAAGAAAACAGAAGCAAACCTGGATTCTTCCTGTAAACCGATAAACAGGAGAACAGTAAATTACTGCAAATAATACTGGCGAAGACCTCGACAGATTCAAAAATTTCAAGTCTGTTACTGTGGCAAAAATCGCCAAAGCTTTGAAACCCTTGTACTAGAGAGTGAAAAACGACAGCTGCTAGCAGTACCGGTATTTTTTTGAGTATAAAGTTTGCAAGGAGAAGATTACGACAGTTTTTGTAATGAAAAAGTG